AAAGAGGTAGAGGTAATAATACTATAAATCGCAAGTCTCTATAGTAATTTAATAAAATAAAGTAATAACTATAAGAAGCTATAAAAAGCAAGCTTCTTCTAGTTATATATATATGCTATCTTAGCTAGATTAGGTGCTAAGACTCTAGCTCTTATAGATTACCTAGATTAGGTTCTAATCTCTTAAATTAGATTCTAATCTACTTAATCTATCTAATCTGTGTTACGTAACTCTAATTATTTCTATAACTCTACACGTAATTTCTTGTCTTATAACTTTAGGCTTAGCCTTACTGTTTTCTCTATTCTAGCTAGCTAACTCTATTTCTAATTCTGTAATCGTAACACCCGCCCTTTCTTCTAAAGCGTTATTCTAAAGCTTTATTCTATTTCTAGGTGCGGTGTTTTATTATTCTACGCTATTCTTATATAAGAGTAGCGCTGCCTATAGTTCTATAGTATTATATTCTCTCTTTCTCTTCTATTCTCGCCATGCCGCCTACGCGTACTAAGTCTTTAACAGTTTACTATTACTATTACGCTAACCTAGTTCTGCGTACTAGCGCTAATATATCTAATAACTCTTATAGTACTTACTATTTCTATAACCTACGTTACGTTATAGAGGTATCTTCTAGTTATTACTTAGAGTATATTATAAAGAGTTAGTCTTATAACAAGGTGTTAGACTAGAAAGAGGTAGAGAAGCTAGATTAGTTAGTAGCTAATTTACGTTCTTAGTAGTCTAAGGCTAGTCTTAAGGCAGAGCGTCTAGCTAAGACTTAGTAGGTAGAGTTAGCGCGTATAAAGACTCGCCTACGCGCAGAAATAGATTACTTCTACGCTAAGCTAGGTTGTTAGAAAGCGTTCTTACGTAAGTCTTAGCGGTCTATAGATGCGCGCAGCAAGCGCTTGCGAAAGTAGTTAGAGTTAGTACAGCGTTATCGCGACGCGCTACTTTTAAAAGACCTTACTAATATTAAGAAGCTAGAGTAGTTAGAACGTAAGGTATAGTAATCTCTATAGCTATAATCTTCTACTTCTCTAGTTAATTCTCTTTAGTTGTTTAACTAGAGTTGTCTAGAAGATCTAGAGTTCTAGTCTCTAGGTTTTAGAGTTAGTGTTACTAACGAAACTTCTTAAGTTTCTTAGAGTAGTTCTTAAGGTTTTCTAGTAGTTTCTAGGTGTCTTTCTCTAGTAGGTATTCTTTCTATCTAACCTAGTATTTCTACTAACCTTATATACGTCTTTTATCTAGTATTCTCTTAACTTTAAAGTCTTAGTCTAGTTCTACCTTAGTTTGTTTATTAAGTAGTACGTTGTTAGGCGCTAGCTTAAGTTTAGATTTATAGAATATAGAGTGTATTCGCATTATTAGTAGTAGCTTTAGTCTAAAGTTAATAGGTCTAAGCTGTTTGTCTATCTTAAATAGTCTAATTCGTAGATAGTTAAGTTTTTTGCTAGGTTACTTAGTACGCAAGTTTTTTCGCAAAATAAAAACTTTACCTCTCTTCTTAAAGGTTAGTCTCTTAACTCTTTTTCTATTTGCTTATTAGGTTATTCTTTCTACTGTTTTTTATAGTCTATTATAGATTATTCTTATTTAGCGTTCTTTTTCTTCTACTCTTAGAAAAATTATAGCTATATATGTTAAGAATCTATATATTCTAGCTTTATAGCTATAGCATGCTTAGTAGAGAGTTATCTCTATAGTTTCTTGTTTTACTATGTTATATACTAGTTATGCTATAGGTAGTAGTTTAATCTAGTTATCTTATTCTTAGTTAACGTAGTTTCTTAGGTATTCTTCTAGAGTTTAGTTTATTTATTCTATCTAGCTATTAGTTTATAGGTAGAAGCTAGTTAATATTTAGTTACTTATTTCTATTTAGCTAAGTAGTGTATTCTAAAACTTAGACGTAAATAGTTTATCTCTATCTATAGTAACTTGTTCTAGTATTCTATGCTAGCTAAATAGTTATTAGCTTACCTTATAAGCTAGTTCTTTAGCTTTAAGAGTTTTGCTAGTTAGGTAGAAGTACGTAAACTTAGTAAATTAGTCTATAATTACTAAGATAGTATTATACTTTCTTCGTAACGTAGGTTTAACTAACCTAGGTAGCTTTATAATAAAGTTTATAGTAACGTGTTACTATAGTACTATAGGTAGTTCTAGAGGTTGTAGTAGCCTATAGAGCTAGTGTCTAACTACTTTGTTTTATTAGCATTCTATGCACTCTCGTACTATTCTAGTAACGTTTTCTTTTATCGTAAGAAATCTATATTCTCGTCGTAGCCTCTTAAGAGTACGCTTAATTTCTTAATGTCTGTACGTTATTATGTTATAGAATTTCTAGACGAATTCTATTTATAGTACCTCTAGTACTTCTCTTCTTTCTTATTTATTAGGTAGTTCTAATTTGTTATTCTATTAGTCTTAGATTTCCGTAACTTAGCTAACTTGTAGCCTGTTAAACTCTAGAGTTTCGTCTAGTTTAGTGCGGAGCACGGCTTCGTGTTCTTCTTTAGTTGCTGCTATATAGTTAGCTCTTTAGCTAAGCGCGTCTACTACTTCGTTTTTAGTACTCTTCTAGTATTAAATA